ATACCGCTAACCTTGCGCACGTCTACTCAGAATTAAGCCCCGCGGTGTTCACCGAGATTTACTCCAAAGCAAGCATGTACAGAAGTGCAATCTTAGATGTGGGGGCGAGGGCGAAAGGCTAACCGATTTAGCCAGAGCAGCTAGCAGGAAACGATTCATCTTGAAAGATCTTCAATAAAAGCTTAAACAGGGCGCACTTTGTTTTCACACAAGCTCGCAGTCTGCCCTTTATAAGGAGCGCGTTCTGGCAGCAAGTCTCTTAGGAAGCGCCACTTGCTACTCGGAGTCATTACGCCACCAACAGATGAGTTCCCACCCCTTTGCTGTTCTCTTCCGAGCCTTTCAAAAGACCAAGGAAACTTTCGTGCTTTGTTTTGTTTTTTAATCCAGCCGAGGTGGCTGATGAGTGGTTGATGCTACGTTAAAGAGGCTTGATTGGGCTGCTTCACCACCCACACTCTCACGCGCTGCCGGCGGAGGAAGAGCCTGCCCAACTTTTCTTCCGAGAGCTGTCACTCCCGCTCAGCACAGCCAGCCCACAAGTTCTCCCTCCGCTGGATTTAAAGAGGCAGCGAGTCTCTTTTTTTTTCCCCCGTTCTTCCAGACACGTACCCACGCTCGCCTTTGCACAGGCGCGCGTCTTTTTCTTGCGTTCTCCGGCTCCACTCAACCGCTTTAGGTCGTCCGAAGACGCCCTGAACCCTCCCAAGCTCTGACCCCGGACGCGGCTCTTTTCCAAAATACGAATCACCAAGCGCCCGTCTGTATATTGTCCGGCAGCCTCCGTAAGGAACAAGGGGCTGGGAAGGAGCGCTACTTGTATCCTACAATACAACAATAAATTCTACAGTATTTCAGAAGCCTGTCAGGAGTTGGCAGAAAAGGAGCGCGGTTGGCTGCCTCGGCCACCCCCGCCAGGCAGAGCTTTCAGCTCTTCTTCAAATGGTCCGTTTTGCTTCCTGGATTCCCTTATTAGTTATAGGACCAAAGTTTCCTCTCTCCGCCCATTCCCCGGTTTCAGCCAAGCATCCCTCGCTCGCTCCCCTCCCAAACTCCTACATCCGTTCAGGCGAGAAGCGAGAGCTCCAACTGAGAGAGCGCCTGCCCACAAGTGCTCCGCAGCCGCCCCCAGCCCCCTTGCCCGCCCCCTTACCATGATCAGTGTGTGATTCCTCTGCTCGGCTGTAGCAGGCTCGGCATCTTGTTGCTGTTTGCTCGAATGCTGTTGCTTGCTGCCGCCGCCGCCGCCGCCGCTGGATCTCGTTTTCTTGGCCCTTTGCTCCAGGGTCCTCTGGTAAAGGCTCACCGTGTCCCTTCGCTCCAGCTCCAGCTGTTCGGCCTGGGCTTGCTGGTACCTGTTCTCGCAGCTGACGTGATGTCTCCGGCAGCCCTCTATGCGCTGCCTGAGCCTTTCCACCACGGTGCTGTGCTTGGGAATGCCGCCGCTCCCGTTAGTCCCGCCGCCGCCGCTATGAGTAGCGTTGTTACCGGGAGGAGGGCCGTGGGGAGCGCTTTTCACGCCGATCCCGGCCCCGCCGAGGCTGCTGCTCAGGTTATTGTTAAGACAAATGCTGCTGCCGTTCGCGGCGGCAGCGGGGGTTGGAAAATCCCCCATCCCCTTCCCCGTGCACACTATTTTGGAAGAACTTTTTTCCCTCTCCTTTTACACGCGGGCGCCACACAGCAGGCAGTAACACCGAGGGGGGGGTCCTCCTGTTGGGATACTCTTTAATGGACCATGGAGACGGAAACAGACCCCAGCAAAAATGTTTGGGGGGTTGTAAACAACGAAGCAAAACCTCCCCCCTTCTTGTCGATCCTCTCTTTTGGGGGGGGGGGAGGGGGGGGGGGGGGGGGG